TGTTCTATCAGCTCAGCAAACCCATGTAATTCACCATGGACTGCAAGGTGGTACAAAGACAAGAAAAATTAATGTTTAGGAATGGGGTAAAAAGGAACCCACCCTTCAGAAGTACCTCCCTGGTGAGAATGTGTAATATAAAACTGCACCTCCAGCAATGGTCTTTCCTCGCTTTTCAAGGGTTCTATTGTCTCACTAGTTAAACAACATAAAAGATGTAAAGTCACAGACTCCATGAAACAAGCTCATCCAATTTGATTCATGTTGACAGAACACACAGAATCAATAGTGATGAACACAGTTCTGTGGAGAGGTTTTAGCTGAAGTGTCTGCACTGGGATGGGGCAGCCCTGGCTGTAGGGACAGACTGGGGTCTGGAACTGATGCCTTGAAAAGGCTGACCTAGAGGAGAGACCAGACAGAGTTAAAGAATAAAGTAGGGGTTTATTAAAAGGCCTCGCTGGATACAGTTGGGCAGCACCAGAGCCCAGCCAGGGCTGCACCCAAGATGAACCCAAATGGTCCCAAAATGCACGAGCACTCATGGGGTCTCTCACTTTTATAAGTTCTGCTCCATTTGCATATTGTTAATTGTCCAATTACAGCTTTAGGTTATGAAGTCCCATCCTTCTTGTTTTTCTCTCCTCAATTCACTGTTGTTTATGTGTTTTGGGCCTGAAGCTTGTAATTGTCCTTGGTTCTCAAGCTGGAAAAGAATTGTTTTGTCTAACTAAGCTGTGAAGAGAACTTACTAACATTAAAGATGAAGCTCAGAGCTACACACCAAGGCAGCACAGAATCTGAAAAATATGAGAGCTAAAACTTAAGGCATCATTTCCCCCTTTAGAGGCTTGACAAGGCCTTTACCTTGTCGAGTCTCTATCCTAAACATCTACTAATAATAGGTATTTAATGACAGACAAGTATCTAACAACAGTAAACATCCAACAACAGATAAATATCTAATAGTAAATGAATACCTACCAACAGACAACTGGAGAGCAGTGCCATGGAAAGGGACCTGGGGGTGCTGGTGGAGGGCAAGTTGGACACGAGGCAGCAGTGCCCTGGGAGCCAGGAGGGACATCCCTGTCCTGGGGGCACCAGGCACAGCATCACCAGCCAAGGGAGGGGATTGTCCCCTTTGCTAGGGCTGGGGCAGCCTCACCTCGAGTGCTGGGGGCAGTTCTGGGTGCCACAATGTAAAAAAGACATTGGGCTGGTAGAGAGTGTCCAAAGGAGGGCAAGAGGAAGGGCATCGAGGGGAAGCCATGTGAGGAGCGGCTGAGGGCACTGGGTCTGTTCAGCCTGGAGGACAGGAGACTTTGGGGAGACCCCAGTGCAGTCACAACATCCTCATGAGGGGAAGAGGAGGAGCAGGCACTGATCTCTTCACTCCCATAAGCAGTGGCAGGACCCAAGGGAATGGCCTGCCGTTGCATCAGGGGAGGGTTAGGTTGGATATCAGGAAAAGGTGTTCCACCCACAGGGTGGCTGGGCACTGGAACAGGCTCCCCACAGAAGTGGTCACAGCACCAAGCCTGACAGAGCTGAAGAAAGGTTTGGAAAACTCCCTCAGGCACATGGTGTGACTCTGTGCAGGGCTAGGAGTTGGACTCTGATGACCCAGCTCAGGATGTTCTGTGATTCTCTGAGTGCAGTCACTCCCTGCTTCAGAGGCTTTGTCAGATGCTGTGCTTAGAGTCTAGCCCTTTTTTACTGGCTCATCATGTTTGTTGTCACCCCATACCTGTTGGGAGAGGTGTGGATGGAATTCTCCGAGTCTTATTCAATGACTGTTCTCTCAATGCTGTTTTTAATTAATCTCATTTAAAGGGACTCATTGTTTTGTGGGCAGGGTTCCTTTGCCCCAGGAATTTTAAGTATTTTGATTATGAATACATTATTGAGGCAAAATTATTTTCTTAAAACATCAATAGTCTTACTTCTCCCTTAGTACTCCCTGGCCCTGAGGGAGTTGCTAGGAAAGGTTCTGTCATGTGGAGGTGAAAGAGGAAGGGAAGAAGCTTGGGTCAGTATGGAGAAACTGAATTTTTCCCATGAAAAAATCTCAGTGGAGCTGGGTTTTTACCTCATCCCAATCTCCCAGTGGTGGGGGGCCAATGTCCTGATGGGAGGGCTCTGTCTCTCAGATTAACCCTGCCCCACATCCTCTTCCCATCAGTGACAGGAGCAGCAGATAAATAAGGCCATACCTGCAGAGAGCAGAGAGCAGCTGTGCCAATGGTGGTCACCACCCCAACAGTCTGCCTTCAACTCTTCTGGGGAAAAAAAACCCCTCATCGGCCAGATGGGATCACTGTGATGGCTTTCTCTGAGCTTTATAAGTCACACTGACCAGTTTCACATTTGGAATCATTAGTTCATTTTTATAGTAAAAAAGAATGATGTGAAGGGTATGATATGCAGTGTCTTGAATTATGCATGTGGTTTTTATGGTGATATAAACTCCTTTCAAAGAAGAGTTTTACTCCCCTTAGTGATAAACCCCTTTTTTTTTTCTAAATGTTGTTCCTGAGACCCTCTTTTAAGAGCATTCATGCACTTATCTGACTGTAGAAAATACATACCATCAGTGAACCTTGCGAAACACTCCATGTGCGATTTGTTTTGATCAAACTTTTAGAACAACTTTGAAGCAAAAGTTTTAACTGTGGAACATAGAGCAGCCTTCAGAAAGAAAAACTGCCAGTGATGCAGATGTGGTTTCCCTCATACCCTTTGTTCCAAAAAATGGAAAAACTTCGGACTCCCAGAAACCACTGGGAGTTCTGGGTGCATAGCACCTGGCAGGGTGAGCATCTGCAAATACATTTTATTTGATGGCTACTTAACATAAAGCACTTGAGCCCCTGAACCAAATGTCCCTGAGTGAAACAGAACCAAGGCCTTCCATCACTCCCTGGCTGAGCTTCCTACTCATGAGCCCAGCAAGTCATGCCACTACCCTACAGCCCAATAATTATATTTGCAAAATCATGTGAGGGGGAGGAGGAGCACCTTCAATATCCTCATAGAATAGTCTCAGCTTCAGAACAGCTCATGGCTTGGAGCAAAAAAGCATTTTCCTGGGAATAGAGTGGCATGGTTTTGAACACCCTTCATCCTTTGGGCTGAACATGTTCCCCGTAGTGCTCGTGGTGATGACTCTGCTGCCAGCCTGTTTGCTGTGAGTTATTCAGAAACAAAACTTGTAAGTCTTTCTTAGGTGTGGCATGAACACAGCCAATTTATCCAGCCTAAATGGTATTTGGGGCAATAATGACTTGCCTGAGAATTCAGCCAGGTTTGGGCATATTTTAAGCACCATGATCCTGGTTTTACCAAGATGACAGCAATTCTAAGCCAAGCAAAGCAGAAAAAGGCTGCAAAGCAAGGGACTTGCAGAACTTTGTTGCCTAAGGAAGCCATTTGGCAAAGCACATGCTGGGATTGGGCAGGATTTATGCACCAAAATTTTACCTAAATACCTAATTTATGCATCTAGGCCAATATAAGTCAAGCTGTGCTGCATGCACTTCTCTGCTAGGGAAAAAAAAAAAAAAGATTCTGCATGGTGGAAGGTATCCACTGTTCTGGGGATTAAGAGCACTTGCTCTGTGCTTTACTTAGGCTGCTTGGGGAAATATGAGGACATGACCACTCCCACCTCAGGAGCCCAAAATGCACACGATTTCCCCCTTGCTGTTGCCAGGCAGCTTTCCACAGCCCCTCACAGGAAGAGCCATTACTCACTTTACTCATCATCTAAGGGTTCTTGCTCTTGGGAGAGAAGGGAACTGTTTACAGAATGGCTCGTGTTTTCCCCAGAGTACTGTTCCTCCAGCAGTCCATAAATCTCAGGTGCTGTCAGTGCTGAGTGGAAATGAAAGGTATTGCTGGACAGGGAGGAATTCTTATCTTGAATTCAGTTACTTAAAGATAACTCCAGATCTTCTCACATTCACTGCTCTTCGTGTCAGGAATATCTTGTGTGGGACAACAGGGATTTAAAGTTTTGACCACATGGCACGATGGGGACCAAACCACAAAACAGCTTGTCTGTCCAATTTTATTTTTCCTGAGGTGTTCAGAATGGGAGAGGGGACAAAGCTGCCTGTCAGCTGCGAATCACAAATGTTTTGTGGACACAGGAACGCTGCGAGACTTCCCAGCTTCAGAGCTTATTCAGAAAGTGGTTTTGCAAGGCAAGGTTCTCTTAGAAATATCATGGCCACGGCACAGTTTTAGTAATTGACATTTGTCATACGTAAAATAAGCCATAGGGGTGGATGGCTGTTCATAAATGCACACACAATCGGATTACTCACGTGAATTAAACTACACACACTGGCACAGAGAGTCATTTCTGCAGCCGGGGACTGTACCTGAATTACTGCCACCTCCCTGAAACACTGACAACGCGCATCCATGCCACAGCCCAGGCATGGGATGGGGCACAAAGCACAGAGAGCTCGGCTCGCATGAAAGGGAATACATGTCATCCCTTTACACTTTGAGGACTAACCCTTTACATAAGCAATTCCAAAACCGCCCGAAGCGGAGGGTGTGAGAAGAGCGCGTTCACCGGGGGAGGAAATAGGACAAAACTTTCAATTTCCTTTGTCCTTACGGACGCGATCAGGGGCTGCCAGCGGCGGAACCGAGCATTTTGGAGTTCGCAGCGCTGAGGGGCGATCGCGGGCCCGGGACGAACGAGCGGCGCCGGGGCGATCGATCTCGGAGCGGCGCTGAGCCGGGCGCGCCCGCCTCGCTCTGTCCCTCCCTTCCTGCCCCCGGCACGGCCGCTGCACATCGGATCCCGCCCCCGTCCCCGCGGGACGGCCCCGGCCGCCTCCCGGCGCTCCCTCCATCGCCACCGCTCCCTCCTTCCCTCCCTCTCTCCCTCAGAGCCCGCCGGAACCGCCTCCGCCGGCCGGGCGCGCCCCCGCGGCCCGCGCGCCCCCGCGGCGGGGCGGGCGCTGCGCCCTCCCCTCCCCAAGGTGTTGGCGGCGGCGGCGGGGACGCGCTCGCCGCTCGTGCCCGCGCCGCCCCCCCGGCCGCGCTCCCCTCGGCTCTGCCCGGCTCTCCCTCCCCGGCTGCGGCGGCTCGGCCATGGCGGAGCTGAGCGCGGAGCGGCTGCGGGCGCTGCCCGGCAGCTGGAGTTACGGGATCAGCCAGGGCGGCCGCGTCTTCTTCATCAAGTGAGCGCGGCGCCGGCCAGGAGGGGAGCGGGGCCGGGCCGGGAGGGGCGTGCGGGGAAGGGAAGGAGAGGAGAGGAGTGGGCCTGCCTGACTCGGTCCGTGTGTCCGTCCCCGCAGCGAAGAGGCGAAGAGCACGACCTGGCTGCACCCGCTCACCGGCGAGGCCGTGATCACCGGGCACCGCCGCAGCGCAGGTAGGACCCTGCCCGGAGCCCTGCCCGAGCCCAGCCGGAGCCCAGCCCCGAGCCCAGCCCCGAGCCCAGCCTGAGCCCTGCCGGAGCCCAGCCCCGAGCCCAGCCTGAGCCCAGCCCCGAGCCCCCGGCTCGGCCGCCCCCGCCGCCCCTGCCCCGGGCGGGCTCAGCCCGGGTTCCCCACAGCCCCCCGGGCAGGTCCCGGTGGAGCTTTCCCCTCACTGGCGCAGTTGTTCCCCGCGGGGTGAGCAGCGCCGCGGCCGCCGTGCAGTCCTGCATGGCCAGCCTGCTGGGCAGTTTCTCCTCCCGCTGCCCCCGAGTTGTGCCTGTGTAATGTATCTGTCTCTGCTTTCCCTCCGTCGCCTCGTGTCACCCCTGCGAGGCTGTGTAGTTACCATTAGAGACCGCCTCGTTCCTCTCGTGCTCCTCGCTGGCTACCCCGGTTATCCACCTGCATAGCATCCTTCCCCAGTTTAGCACGAAACCACTCAGCGTATTTCTATTTCCAGCAGCGCCTAGATTTAACCACGATAGGTGTACTAGAAATGTAGGGGCTGATTTCGCCAGTCACCTAGAAACCCTTTTTCTCCCTGCGCTTCCATCTAGGCTGAGAGTCTGTGTGGTTTCCAAGTGACTGGGAGAGGTGGAATGGGTGGGAGGAAAAGGGGCTTGAAACATTAGAAATAACTTGGAGGGAGGAGGGTGGAATCAAGTCTTTGCTTCTGCTGTTTGTTCCACTCTGGAGAAGTATCAGCAGGAGGTGCTGGAGGAGGAGGATTTACAGCAGACACTCCGGAGAGCCGGAGCCAAACTCTTGGCTGCTGGAGCTGCACGCAGGCTGCTCATGCCGCTGGGAGGTGGTGGAGTGTAGTAATACGTGCAGTTGTTTTTATGTATATAAGCACTTGGATAATCACGGGGAAATAATCTGCAAGTGAATTGGTCTGTATCAGATTATTTGCTTTTTATGTTTGGTTAATACTTATGCATTAAGGAATCAGAAACAGCTTTTTAGAAAACTGTGGGCAGCCTTTCTTTTTTCTTTTTCTTTTTTTTTTTTCTTTTTGTTTTTGAGTTAGGAATAGTTAAAAAACCACAGGTTTCTGGCTGTTAGAGCCCTGCAGTTTGATTTGCAGCGAAGGTTCTGTTGTTTGTAAGAAGTCATTTGATGCTGGGAAATGGAACTACTGATTGCTATCAGGCTCCTCTTGCTTCTGCTCTCAGTGCTCGGATTGAGAAAGTGGCCTCCATCTACAGCAGTATGCATGGGGGCAGCTGTGTGTGAAGTGTTTTTCTTCTTCAACACCGGCATTAGCTGAGTATTAATTCTTTTTTTAAGCTATTCCCACTGTCCTTGTTGACTGATGATGATTTCCCAGTAATTTTCCAAGTGTCTCATTTGTTTCTGCTGTTAAGTGCCTTCTAAAGGAAATGCAGCTTGCTTTTGAGTGTCTGGAGTATTGTGTGTAACAGAGCAGAGTTATCATCAGGTAAATGAAACTTGTTTCTGAACGCAAGGCTGAGGCATGACCTTTGATACACTGACCATAATTCATCAGATACCACAGTGTCTAAAAACCAAATCTGTTCCTGCAGTTCTCCTCATTCATGTGTATGTTAATGAATCTCTCCATACACAGATATAATCAAACAGAATTATTCTGGGGTTTATCTCTCCCTTTGCTCTGACCATTGTTCTGGAACCTAGTCAAAATATGTTCAGAATACATCTTCTCTTAAGAAACAATTTTTGAGTGAATGGTACTTCTTTTGCAGATGTATATTATTGTAAAGCTCTCTGTTAAATAATTCTGTGAGGCATGTTCTAGACAGTGAGGAAAGCTTTGTCCTCCATTATGGATTGAAGTGCTTTTTATTCTTTGAGCTATTCAGCACTGGAAGGGTATTTTTTGCAAAGTTCTTACAGCAGCCATAAATACTTCTGCTGGAGAGACTTCCTGTTTGCTGTACTTTGCCCCGTGCCGTTATCAAAAGACACCTTGATTTTTGTTCTGCAGAAGATGGGAGTGAACAAAAAAAAGCAGCCAGAGCAAATAAGTAATGAGGAGGATAAAAACCACCACATAACCCAGCCTGATTTTTTTTTTTCCTCCTTTAGGAAATGCATTCTTGCTTTTATACTTTAATAATTCAATGAGAGAGTGCTACCTATCAATCATTATTTTTATTGATGGGGGCAAACTTTTAAGGGTGGAGGTGCCCTACATCTCCAGAGCTTCCATCACGCCCCAAAACTGAAATTTTGACCATTAGTGGTATGAGGTTTTTTAATATCTGGACTCTTAAGAGTGGTAATAGAAAGGAAGAGATGCACCCACATCCTCTACTAGATTTACATGGAAAATGATTTTCATGTAAAATGCAACAGAGTTGTAAACACTGCAGGAGCACTTGTTAGTCACAACAGTGGTGGAATTATGCTAATACAATGCTAATGCTCTGTGGTGCAGTTGATATGGTGCCTCTTAAGGAGCTTGTGACTTGCATGTAGCTCAGTTAGATGGATTTTTGTTCAGATCTCTGCCTGCCAGGTGAGCTGATGCTGCTGAATTTCAAGGCAGGGAGATCTGGTGATGACCCCGAGTTGCTGGGCAGAGGAAGGAATCTTAAACGAGGGCACACTTAAACCATCCTTGTTATTATTTGAGAACCAGAAACCCCAATCAGGTTTTCAGGTGTGTAGCTTCTCTTGGCTTACAGAATTCACACTTAGGCAGTCTGGTGAGTCAATTCTGAAATCCTTGTTTCTGGGGCTGAAGGTCTCAACATGAGGAATCAGACACAGTGTTTTACCTACCTTAGTGTTAGGGAGTAGACCAGGATGGCTAGCATCATTTCTCATTTCAAAAGGTAATTGGAATGTTTTGCTGCTTGTTTTCCAGACTTACCCACAGGTTGGGAGGAAGCCTATACTTTTGAAGGTGCAAGATATTATGTAAAGTAAGTTTGTCACAATACTATAATTTTAAATTAGTTTGTCTACATGTTGCTGTAATTCTGAATGCTTTCCATACTGAACTCCAGTGTTGTGCTATAAATCCAAAAGGAGCATTTAAATTTGTCACAGGGTATCTAGTCCTTTGTTTACTGAATTCTGCAGAGCTAAAACAATCTCTTGACTGTTTGTGTTAATTAAAGCTGTGTGAGGATGCAGATTCAAGTGCAGTTTCTGCTGTGAATGTAACCATCTAGCAACAAATGTCCTTGCAAGCCAAGAAAACCTTGAATTTGTCTGTTTGCTTGACATTTGTGTGTGTACCCTCCTGTACCACAAATGCTTTCACAAAGGCAAGATCTTACTTCATCACTGGGAGAAGAGTCTTGATTTCAGCCCTGTTCTCTAATTACATGGTTTAAAGCCACACTGAAGGTTTAATTTGGCCATTTTCTTTGCAGACCTCCTGCTTCTAGCATTGATTTCCATTTTTTTTTGGTTTTTTTTTTTTTTTTTTTCTGGTTTTAGTATGTTTTGAGGAGCACGTTCACTGTGGTAGCCTTGCTGTCTGTATTGTCTTTTTGGATGAGAGACATGAAAATCAAGCTCTTGTGTAGAAGTCCAGAGGGTGTATTGGTTGGATTTACACAAACTTCTTACAAGCTTTTGCTCTCCAGATAGTTAGACCATCCTTATCTGGAAAAATTTTAAGTGGCACCTATGTATATTTGGTTAACATGCGTCTATATTTTCTGTTTAACAATTCATGGGCTTTTCTCAATTCATTCAGAAGTTTTTGCTCACTGCACTGAGTGTTTGGTTTGCTGTCTTTAAATTAAAAACGTCATTAGTGTGGTAACTTTTATGAGTGAAGGTTATAGACAGAGTTTATAGACTGCAGGTAGGTTTTTTCTGTGTTGCAGTGTTGAGCACAAAGCTGCTGCTCTGTGTAAGATGCATTGTAGACAGTGTAAGGTGGGTGCTACGTGTGTGCTTCATGGTTTATTTTATATGAGCGTGTTTGATTTGGTCCTGAACAAATTTTAAAAATATACATTGAAGCATAATGCTCCCAAAAATCTGACCAGAATAGGCACTGTGCTGTCTAGGAGGGCAGATTGATTGTTGATAAACAACGTGTTTGTTTTTCTGTTCTTTTCTGCCTTCTTGCAATTGACATTGCAGGAGTGCTGAGTAGCAATTGACCAGAAATACACCAGACTGAGGACAGGGATCCACTGAGAAATTCACCTCTGGAGTTCTGTGCAGATTGTTAAATGAAGACAAGTGAGAATTAGAGAAAGCTGTGTTTGTGTGTGTATACAATGTGAAAAAAATTCTTCTGGAGTTTGAGATGGAACCTTTTCTTGTAGAATAAGCTTATGAACAGTGTGTTGGCCAGCTGCAGTAACTGGAAAATAGCAACTTGAGTTTTGCTGGAATAAACAAGTTGTGTGAACAGCTGTTGTAGATCTCTTCAGGACAGACTTACTGAGTGCCAGGTTGTTTGTGTACCCTTGTCCTTCCAAGATCTTGTGTTCAAGGTGTTACCATAACTGTGAGGATGCACATGGAGCTGATTGTTTTGCTGATAGCCAGCGCCAAATAACTCAGTTTGTGTTTAAAAAAGTTGTGCTGTCTTTGAAAACACGTTGCACAAACACTTCTCTGGGATTTGACAGATGTAGGAGGATGGCAGGGATGGTGCTGTCAGGCCTGCTGAAAGGTTCACGTGGTCTGACCAGTTTGGCATCCTCAGTTAAATACTGGTTTGTTGTGTAGAGTCTCAGGTTGAATTTGAATTCCTGCCCAGTGATAGCTTCTCCTTTTGAAGCTGTCTCACATTCAGCCCTGCTGGTGCTCGAGAGGATGTGAGAGCTAACGTAGACAGGGTGACAACGTTATAATCACTGTCTTCTGATCCTAGGCAGTGTAACTCGGGGTGATGTGTTGATTACAATAATTCTGGTTGTCTGAATTTTAACTACTGTGGGGCTTCTGCATGAGGGGCAAACAGCACTGGCTGTTGTGACCTTCTGCCATGAACCATGTGTGGATTTTGAACCATAACCTGCTCATTCGTGTGTATTGATTTGCTGAATATTAGCGTTTGTTATGTCAATTGCAGCCTAATAAAACCATGTCAAAACTGTAAATATTGAAAGCTTGTTTGTGGTTAGGTCTGAAAGAAACATATTGTTTTATGTTCCATATGAGTTACAAGGAAATGAATGTTAATGTCATGCTTTTGGTGCTTCAGCCACTGAAACCTGTCTGTTGCATTCCTGTGTCCAGTCAGAGTTAGACAAGAAGGGCAGTCAAGTTTCCTGATCACATAAATAATTTGACCTAACTTCTGAGGCACAGCTTCAAATATGTGGGTTGAATAGAAATGTTTAACAACCTTCCTTTATGGTAAGATCTTATGCTAGACTGTGTTTGAAAATAAAAACCTTTTGAAAATTATTCTTCTGGTTCTTTAATAATAGGTCTTCAGTGTTCCAAGTGGGTGTGTTGCTGAATCTATTACTGTGCTTTTTTTTGGCTTTGATGTAGTAAACACTGTATAATCAAATTGGGATAATGTCGAGGAGATAATCGTCAGCTAAATCTTAACATTCCTTGCACTGACATTTCAAACAAATGACTCAGTATACAGATGCACTGAAATGTGATTCTTTTTAAAGGACACTATTTTTCTTGGGATGTGTGCACTCGGTTTCAGAATAAGTAAATACCAAACAGTGACTATTTTACGCATTTTTTTCTCTCCCATGGCATTGAATTTGTTCTAGTTTTAAAGTGGAAAGATACACTAAAACAGGGACAGATAAGGAGTTGTTCCCATTGCATACTGTGGTTTTCTGTTGGTGTAGGGTTGTCGTAGTAAGTTGATGCTAGCTAGGACTTTGACCTTTTTGGCATGTTATTTTTTCTGGGTTTGTTTTTTGTTTTTTGTTTTTTGTTTTTTGTTTTTTTTTTTTTTTTTTGAGCAGTAGAATATTTGCTAATGACAGAATCATTTCTCCACATCCTCCTCACTCACCTCTGGTAAACCCAAATGACAAAAGGTGTTGTTTGCTATTTGGAGTTAAAAATGTGCAATGCCAGGATACCTTGTAGGGAGAGTGGTTACATTGTTTAGGGGTTTTGTCTCTTTCAGGGTGAGGAAATCCGGGTTTGTTTACTTCACATCAGACCTGTGTACTGGCATCCCTTCACTGGCACTTGGTGGGAGCTCTGGCAGTAAACTTTGCTGAAATAATGCTTGGTTTGGTATTTATACAACTAAACTTTTACCCAGAAAAGCCTACCCTTGACTGTAGGACTGATAGCATTCAATTATAACATTTGTTACTTTCAGTTAAGTATTGAATTTTCTGTATTATGAAGCAAAACTCCTGAGGCTTGAAAATAGCAGCAAACTTGGTATTTTTCTTTTGTCCTGCTTAGGGTCCTTCACTGGACTGGTTACTTGTGCTGAGTGTATTGTGTACTCCTGAGCTCTGAAAAGTTAAGGGCTTTCTCCCCAAAACACATCTAAACTGGATGGTTGTATGGGAAACTTATTTATGTTATTTATAAGTGCCCAAGGAAAAGGACCCCACAGGAAAATCCCATTATGATACTTCTCAGTAGAGAAAATACACCTGGTCATGGGTCTCAGGCTCCTCACCTGGTAAGATCATTGAGAATTTCCAGCTTGATGTTTTTAGGACTTTGTGATGGCCTCATAATCTTTAGGCACCAAAGCTCTGGGTTTGAGGACCATAAAATTAAATAAATGTGTGTGTGCATTTATGCATGTGTTTGAGAAACCCTTATCCTTGGTTAAAATGACCCAATGATCAAAATTCAGGCATTTTCTTACTTTTCTTGCATTTTTGGTTCTCATTGCAGTAGTTCTAAATATGTGTTCCATTTTTAAATATGTTTTTTCTTTTCAAACAAGGGTTTTATTATTTAAATTACTAATTTGCCAAATAAGGTTGTTCTAAAAATCAATCCAAAGATGATGTTTGTGGAATTTTGCATCACTCTGCCTAGGCTGGTTTCTACAGAAGTACTATTAGGTAAGCTTTTTGGATGTTAGAATTTGATTTTTCTTAACTTTGCTGTAAGACTGACACTTTTTGGGCAGGTCAAAAGCTGACTGCAAAAGTGCTTAAAAACTCAAAGAATTAAGAGGGTTGAAATTTTATTTTTGGGGTTTTCTCTTGAAGTTTACCCTTTTCTGTGTTCATCAGAACAGTTTTTGCCTGTTGTTGGCTGAATCAAGGCATTGGCAAAGCCTGGCCAAAGCCGAGGTGATTTCACTGTTGCATCAAATAAAGGTTTTGTGTGCTTTTATAGAGACTTTTTGTCAGTGCAGGTTTGTTTATTGTAGACATGTAGCTTGAAAATTGGGAAGGCAAGAAAAATTTATTAAGTGATTAAAAGGGATAAGATCTCATTCAGCTCCGAGTTTCTATTGTTTACTAAAATAAACCTGTGCTCATTGAGAATTCAGCTTTCGTTTGAACCTGTGTCTTTTATGTGCATTCTAAAGATCTTTCCCATTCAGCTGAGACTTTCTCCAGAAAAATCAAACAACAGCCAGTGGTGTTTGCAGAAAAGCCCTTTCTTGAAAGGAAAAAATGGAATTTGAGAAAAATACGAACAGATGAAACAGTTTTTCTCCAAGACTAAGAATTGCAGTATTCCTCCCAGAAATTCAGTTTTCTTTTTACCTCTAACCTTTATTTTACTAAAATGAAGAATAAACTTAATTCTTTTTCTTACATGGTGAGACCTGTAGGTGAAATAATGGTGGACTTAGCTACAAAGCTACCCTGTGCCTTTTGTAGTGAGCAAAGCTGTTCAGATAAGGAGAACTTTTTTTGGGGAATGCCTGCACATTTATTGTCTTTTTGAACATTTGCTTCTTTCTATTCCAAGAACCAAAAATACCGCAGAGCTGGAGCTGGGTGTGGAGGTGGAAGGATTCTAGGCACAGGAAGAAATG